GTCTCTGTGTATTTCTTTCCTCTGCTCAGCAAAAAGCCAATTTCTTTGGCTCTTTTCACTTTTCGACTTTTATGCTAAAACCCACATACATAAATCTCAGAAATTGGAGGGCCAGCGATTATGTCACGACACCCGACCTACCCTACCCAGCCCTCACCTGCCCTGTCATGCTCCATTCCACACGTAGACACATGTGGGCGGTGCATGCTCCACAGATAATTCCGTAATTCAAAGAAGATTCGGTTTATGTGCGCAAAATAATCTGTTTTTAAAAGAGAGAAAACTTAATGGCAACAAATTAGCATAGGGATTCGAATAAGTGAAGCAAATAACAGAGCCCCAGAATGTCGAGAGGCCCTCGACTAGGCGGATACCCAGTACTTTGTCCTCAAAGAGGTTGCCATTCGATGTGTTGCTCCGTTCCATTCGGTTCTCACTCACAGGGCCACTTGTGTATCATTGTCACGCCTTTCGCTGCCATAGATCGGAAGCAGCGTGAAAAGCGTTTCACAACAAAGTCGAAAAACGCTCAAAATAACAATAGTAATAAAACAAATCAATTGCTGCAATTGGATGCAATGAAATTCGGATGATCCAGTGTGTTCCCATAAGCGAAAGGATAAGCACTGACACAAGTTGGGTCTCTGCAACAGAATTTACAATACAAAATGAAACACCGAACCCGAGAACACCACCGTCCACTCTCATTCCCCGAGTGTGCATTATGCATTATGCATTATGCATACCAGATCCAATTCCAATTGCCAAAGGCCCTAAAGGGGCACGCGGGGAGAAAACTGGCTCGTAGAATGCCATGTCATACGAGTGGGGAAAAACAACAACCACAAAAAGAATTCAACAGATAAAGAAAATAAAACAAAAAGCAAAAAAAAAAACAAAAAGAATACAAATTAATCTTTGTTTTTGCCCTGATAAGAGACGAGATCAAATACGAGTACGGGGGGGTCTATGGATGGGTCAGAGCGGCAACAGATGTTGTTCCAGCCGTGCCCCCTAACTGTTTATTCCAACAAAAAAAAGAACCAAAGTATGTTGGGGGTAAAAAATAAGAAAATTAGAAAAGTTTCTGCGCAAAGTTAAACTATCTTTGGATATGGCTAGTATGGGTTATATCCTCTGCTAATCGATTTAAATGCATTTACTGCCGCACACAACAAAAATAAATGAACTCAATTTGAAACGAAAGAAACTAAAAACAAAAAAACGCCAAAAACGCCAAGAGAGCATCGGCGCTGAGGCAAGGCGAAAGATGCACAAAATTAGCAAATGGCAAAAAGGAAAAAAAAAAAAAATGAATACAAAAAAACACACGCAAAGAAAATCAAAAGGAAATTATGTTAACTTTCTGATCTTTTCTACTGTCGGTTGTTTTGGCATAAATATATTTGAGATATATCCACGATATTTCTCGCCCCTCCGGCAGATCGAATGCGTTGCGGGACCTTTCCCAACCGAAAAGAAAGTAAGTCTCATCAGGTTTGGTATCTTCTTTCGAGTATCTTTGTATCTTTTTGCCGTATCTGCTGCTTGGTGTGGTCTGGTGTCTCTCTCTCTCGCTGTCTTTCTTTCCACTGTACATACATTAGTTTGGTGTGAAAGTTGCTTGCGCGAATATTATGTAAAAATCGGGTTTTATTTTGCTACAAAAAAATCAAATCCACGCCATAGATTTGAGTGTGAAATGATCAAGCAAGATCTAAGCAAGATCTTTATCGATCGATGTGTTTCATTCGAGTTTCGAAACGGAAACACTCTTTTGATTAACTGCAATTGAAGCTCTTATCGCTTCCAGACATTCCCCAACTCCCCGATCGGGTACGGGTACGGGTGCTAACGATCGCGCACTTTGGAAGGTTGTGGGGTAGGTTAGGGACACACACACACACACAGAAACATTGTGGCACATTGTGGTTCCCGTGGGTTCTCTGGTTTCCTACGTCTCCGCCCCCAATGGCAACAAGTTCTCGTATTTGTTTTCCGCACACTATAAATAACACTCTGGGAATCGTTTGCCCATTTCAACTCCAGTGGGATGAGAAGTGTGGGAAAGACCCATGTGCCGGCTCTCCCCCCCCCCCCCCAGCAGCTGTTCACACTTTTCTACTTGAAACAATTTTGTATAACAAATACGAGAGAACGCGAATAACTTAAATAATTTTGTTGTCTGTTGTTTGTTTTGCGTTTTTTTTTTTTGCGGTTTTGGGGAATGCCAATAGCCAGCCAGCCACCAGGCCATGCTCTGCACTCTGTTTGGCTATGTTCCATTTCACATTCATCCAATGTGGAGCACCATTGGCACCTTAAAAGTGGATTAGGTTAAGTGCCAGATCCCTGACTGCATCAGCTTATCCTTCAAAATCAATTATTTCCCGAAGCACGTGATGAATGAATCATAATGGATGATATCTGCCGAATTAATCTTTTGTAAATTTCCACATAAACTTTTTTGTCTTAGTCAGCAATCGCCTGGGAAGGAATCAGTCCAAAAAACTGACTCACTCTCTCTCTGTCTCTGAACCTTTCCCTTCCTTTGGTTTTGTTTTGTTTTTTTATTACTTACTTTTCCCTTTGGCCAATCCACTGGCCACCTGAAGGAATCCATAGACGGCTATTACCACGCAGGGCAGGGCTATAACCCCAAAGGACACGTAATCCATGTGCTCAAAGTAATTGGTGATTTGCTCCATTTTTGAATGATTTTATCTTTGATTTTGGATTTTGGATTTTGGATTTTGGATTTTGGATTTTTATTGTATTTTTAGTCACATCAAAAATAAACAACACTCGAACAAAAAAAAGTTACTTTTATTTTTGGTTTATTTTCCAAACTATTTTCTTTCACTTCTTCTTGTTGCTGTTGTTGTTTTGGGAGTAAGAGAAACTTTCTTTCTTTCTTGCTTTCTTTGTGCTGTGCTGTGCTGTGCGCAGGCGCAACGCGTATTAATTTTTCGGTTTTTTTTTATATTTTTGTTGTAATTTTTGGGTTTTATTTCGTAAGAGTTTTCGCTGCGGCTGTGCTTCTTTTTGTTTTTTTTTTTTCGGGGGATTTCAAATATACTTTTGGTTTTTATTTCAAGCGTTGCTGCAGCTGCAGATGGATTTTACTGCGTTGTTGTTGCTGCTGCTGTTGTGGCGCCTCCCCTGTGTGAGGGGTATCCTTGCACCGTTGCTCCTCGGCGTTGGCAGATGTTCTCAATGAACGTGGATGCCACTGCTGTGGCTGTTGTTGTTGTTGTTGTAGTTGTTTCTGTTTCTGTTGCTGCTTCTGTGGTGATTGGTGTTGCACAAATAACAACGCCATCGTTTGGCACTGCAAAGCGGGCGCAACTGATTTGCATCGGTGTGGCAGCCACTAGTCCAGACACAACCGAATCTAAAGTTCTCAATGGGCACATGCACGATGCACGAGTAGGCCAAGAAGTGTATCGGCGGGCAACGCAACGAAACAGAGCACTCGCGGAGACGTGAATTTTGGCTTTGGGGCTTTGGGGCTAATCGGGTCGGTCGCTCGGTGTCTCGGTCGGTGCGCACTGTGAAATTCGTCGCTGAGCTTTTTGTTTGTAACGTCGACGGCGGCAAAACGTCGACTGGTCTCATGGTAGAATTATTCACAAGGTACGGGCACGGCTGGCGTGCCGTCAACATCCACGCTCTCTGGGCCCCCAACTTGGCGGCCCGCTCTTGCTCTCCCTCTCTCTCTTTGGCACACACACACAAGTGAGCGCAGGGTATAAGTGGCTTGAGGTGGGCATACGGCCTCTTTTTATGGCTGTACATTGTGTGTTTCCAGTCACATGGCAGATGAGAGTTTCACATTGTGAGAGCTTGGTATTTTATTCGTTTCGGCTCTCACGAAAACGTCAATGATGCTGGCGATGAGAGAGCGCGCGTGCAAAGCTCTTCGCTCTCATTTTCTCTCTCTCTCTCTCTCTCTCTTAGCACGCGGTCGATAATTGGCGATCGCAAAAGCACGTGAGTCGTCCGAGTCATTAGGCACTAAACTTCTTTTTAACCCCTGCTGATGGCAGATGCCAGTATGGAGAGAGGATTTTAATGCCCGTTTCCCCTTGTGGCACAGTTTGTACTGTAGATCGCAGGCGGCAGAGATGATGAAATATCAAGCAAACGTTGAGTAAAGGATCGAATCCGTGCCAACGACACGAACCCACAAAGAACATGCGCCAGTTGGAAAGGCACGTACCACAGTTGTGTGTGTTTGTGGCGCTTAATTCTACTTCCATTTCCCCCCCGCCCACACACACAATCCAACGGAGACACAGACAGACAGACAAACTTTCCATGGGCCACGTCAGCAAACGGCCGTTGACGTTTGCGACCAATTACAGAATGAAATATAAAAATATAAAAATAAATGTCCTCGGCTGATCCTATCCTCCCCTGCCACATAGCCTCAAAGCCCACGCTCCAACCACCTCCCACGGCTTCGAATAACACGTCAGCAATAAAGTTTGTCCTCTGTGGGAGGTGGAACTGTCCTCAGTAAATGAACATCCACATAAACGCAATGTAAATGTATAATTATTGATTGGCCAAGCTAATCATTGGATGCCACGAATTATGAACTTGTACAAACTATGATACAGAATACTAAAAGAAGGAAAAACAAACAATTCCATTGCAGAATATCCATTTCTAAAGTATCAGTAATACGCATTAATATGTGTGCCGCGTCATGCAGCAGCGTCTCTCGTCTCTGCTGGAATCAACTCTTAAGAAAACATTACTAGATCTCAGATTCAAATTCATTCTTTGAGATTTTCCGTAAGCATTCCCGCATTCGATAGATGCGAAGTCTTCTTGCCTAGTCCTTACAATAAATAGTAGCAACAGCCATAGGAATTGTCTTCACATGGAGTGGTTTCCTTATATTACAAAAGTCTATATACTCGTACTCATTATAATAATTACGATTACGAGTGTGTCTGCCATTTAGATATGGCTTATCAATGCATTTCTGGTTTATCTCCATATATGTACATAGATGGAGCGACCTCAAAAAGTCCCCTATCGAGCAATGAACTCTCAGATATACTTATGGATGTCCTCATTCCAAGAACAAGAACAAGGCGCGACACGTGTCCTTGCCCAATAATCACTCAAGTATTTCAACAGGAAAGAAAGGCAACGACAAAAGCAAGGGAAATGCCAGCCACTGTCGCCACAATACGAGGCAAGAACTGTTGTCTGGTCTGGTATCTGTGTATCTCTCCATCTACTCTCTATCCGTCTCTGGCTGTGTCTGTGTCTGTGTCTTTTCAGGTTCAACGAATTACTTGTTGTCCAGAGAATGTTAATGACTTGGTTGACTCGTTGCTGCAACCCCCGAAGCGTTGATGGAACCTCCCTCATAAACCATGCCCAAAGCTGGTGCTGGTGCTGCTGCTCCATCCATCCATCCATCCCTCCACCCAACATTGAACTTGTTTCCATTTCAATTCAATTTGGCCAACAACCCATCTGGCTGGGTGACTTTTTGGCTGTTGTCTGTCGCCTTGTTGTTGCTGCCGTGTGTGTTTTGGCCATTGAACCTGATCCCTCCACGCCTTATGGACACCAATCTCTCACTCTCTCTCTCCGCCTGCTTCTGGATTTCGGCTTGTTTTTGTTTGTTTACTTGCGATGGGTTATGCACCCACACTTTGGCCATAGTCACTGTCCGCCCAGATATCCGATTGAATTTATGCGCGATTTGAAATTTATATAGTACATTGCATTTCTCGCTAATTGTTTACGAAACGCTACAAGTTGTATATAAATATCATAAAAAACATATGTACATGCCTATGTATGTCTAAATTCCCGTCTTTGGGTTCTCTTCAACAAATGCGCAGTTTCGGAATGAATTTTTTAAGTGTTTTTCTGGTTTGTTTACTTCTTTTTTTTTTTTTTTTTTGCTCCAACTTCTTTGTAAGTTATGGCACATATTTTAGCTTTTTCTTTTGGTTTTTGTTTTGGCTTCAAAACATTTGTATTTCGATTTGTTTTGAATGAAAAGTGAGGCGTGGCACTTACTTGGGGGATGGTAAGTATGTACAATCTCTTGTCTAGCTCATAATAAATCTATTTTACTCACCTGAAAAGATAGAAAAAAAGGTATTCACAATTATTACAAGTTGTGGAACAGTTCAAGGCAATTGCTAGGGCAATAAAGATTCAATAAATCGATTATCTGAATAATTTGTTCAAATGCTTGGCGTTAAATGGTGCATTGGCCCCCTTCATGGTCACAGCTTTATCGATTCAATTGCAATCATCGATTACTCAATCGATTCGTCGATTGCAAGCTCCCCATTTCCTTTCCTGTTCCGTTCCTCTTTTAGCTCTTTCTCTATTAAACTTTGAACTTTTCGCGAGCACAAAAGCTCTTATCGGAGTAACGAACCACGAACCGTTAGGGTTTCATTGCGAAAAGCGTGTGCGCAGGCCGCTTTAATCGGTCATCCCACAAAAAAGTGTGCTGTGGAGTGAGAGGGAAAGTGGCGAGAGAGAGAAAGAACAGGTGCTTGAACTTATTTTTTGTTGGTTGGGAATTGCAGCAGAGTTCCCCTGGCTTTCCTCGTCTTCCCCAATGCTCTCGCTGCCCCTGTATTCGGCTGTCGCGCGCGTGTCTATGATGTAGAATCAGGTGCATGTGGCGGCGGATGGTGGCACTTGGGTGAGTGAACCCGAGCCCCTATCCGAGCCCACCCTGGCTCTGACCTTGTCTTTGCCACAACGCAAATTGTTGGGGTAGGCGACTCTTGACAGGGGCTTTGTTTGGGGTGTGCGGTGTGCCCCTCCACCCAGGGCAATGCGCTACTAAATAATTAATAAATTGTAAATTATCATCGCCAGCTCCTGATGCTGCTGCTGCTGCTGCTGGTGGCTGTCGTCGTTCAATTTGCATTGCATGGCAATCTCCTCTCATGGTCAGGCGGCAATAAACAAAAATAAGTGCAGCCAAATGCATTCGCAAGTGTCGACCATGGCTATACCCTAGTCCAAGGCAACATAACGAGGTGTGAAATTGGCGCAGGAATGGTAGAGTTAAGAAATGAAACATCTCTTCTGCTCTTGATGTTACTGTAAGGCTAATTTTGAATGTAAAATACTCTTGGGTACAGGGTAGTGGCAGCACCGACGAAACAATAAGAATAAAATGTACAATTACAAGACAACAAAATTGTTTTGTTTTATTTTTTATTTTTCGAGCATTTCCTGTCTGCGTCTCCGTCGCTCTGCCTTTGTTCATCTGCCACAGCCACAGGAAGTATTAAGTATACACACACACACACACACACACACACACAATTATGTACATATGCACAAACATATTTACATACATTTTATGTATGTACATTGCAAACACGTTTGGGAGGAGTAGGAGCAGGTGGAGCTGATATCCAGCCGCCACCTGACATTCCAAAAAATAAAGAAAGAATTAAGCAAAGATTAACTGCAATCTGCATCAGTTCGCGGGATCTGTCTGATTAATACGGAAATCGAAGCACACTGACATGTTGCGTTTGCTGGTTTCGCAGTGTGCGGAAGTTTCTTTATTCAATTAATACTTAATTACCATTTTGCGTAATTTTCGTGTTTCATATTAATTGTTAAGTAAATGTATATTTTTGGCTCTACATAATGCAAGCACACATGGCGTATACGCGATATTTATGTGCACGGAACTTTTGCTGACAACATTTTGAACACACAAAGGTGCAAGTTGCTGCAGGTAATTGTAAATATCGAACAATTTTATTTACACATTTAAGTATTTTGTTTGTTTCCAAATGATCACCACGTACTGGCTTGCTAACCAGTTGGGCTCATCATTTGATTCGAGTAATGTACACTTTTAGTGGTTATAAAGGTACCCACTACGCTCCTGCCTGATTCAACGTATAATTACAATGTATAGTGGATATATGTAAATGTTTATCTGTGTGCGTTTAATGCGATTTACATTTCCGAGTGCAAGTTGAGGCTGGTTCTGAAGGCCAAGTGAGCGAAAAGCTGAAGCTTTCTTCGGATACAACTGGTGTATGTGTATGTGTGTGTGAGTGTGTGTTTGTTCATGTTTATGCCCCCCCCCCCCCCTGTGGCTTGTGGCTTGTGCTTTGTGCAAAATTGAATTCTACTGCGCCTTAAGTGCATTGAACCTATTGTTTATTTAATTTTCATTCCGCTTGTTTGAGCTTTCGATATGTGCGGGTCTGGTTTTGTGTAGGGCGCTAAGTAGAAACTGCTGATATTTTGGCAATTTAGAAAGAAAGAGCGCACGCGGGAGGGAAAGGAAAGGAAGCACAACAAATGCCAATGCCATTTCTACACTGTCCCTCTCTCTCTCTCCCTCCCACTCTCACTGTCACTCTCTTTGTTATTCTTTGCTGTCCCTTGACTGCCCCCGTCTTTCCTTCATTCACGACCACTTTTAACCTCGAAAACAAACTTTTCTTTCCTCGCCTGAAGTTCATTGCCGTGCTTCAACCTCGTGAGTGCGTTGCCTGTCTGCTCTCTCTCTCTCTCACTCTCGCTCCCAGTTTGCCGGCGCATTTATTGCCATGTGATGATGTTGTTTTCGTTTCTCTTTCTGCTGCGCATCATTGTTTAAGAACAGAGGGAGAGAGAGAGGAAGCGGGATGAGCAAGAGATGTATCCTTGACAGGTCAAGATTTTGGTCAAGTGTCAGCGGCAACAGTATACTATGGCACTGGAGCGGCAAAATCCTTCAAGCATATGTGGCGGGGAAAAAATTACAGCAAAATGAATTGCTGGATATTATATATCCATTTGCCTCTTCTAAAGACGTGCTCTACATAATATTTCCTTTGGCAATTGCTTCGCGTAACCCAGCTTCAGTTTAAGTTTGATTTCATCAACAAAAACAAAACCCCATTGCACCACTGTGTCCAGCTGATTGCTTCTCTAACCACAGCAGCTGTTCAGTGCGCGCGAGATAAAAGCGCGTCAAAAAAGAAAACAAGTTGAGAGGAAACCAAAGCAGGGAAGAGAAGAGAAAAGCTAAGAACGAAAGAATCACATCACGTCACTTCACTTACATGCTGCTGCTGTTGTTGTTGTTGTTGGGTTTGTATTGTTTCCATCAATGCCAGTGTTGGGCAATGTCGTTGGGGGTGTCGTTGCTACACTTATGGGGGGTCTGTTCTCTACCAAATTGTGTTGTGTATTGGGATTCGAATACATTTTGGCCAGTTGTCTATAGTTATAATTGTTGGTTGTGCGCGGATCGAAGAATCTCTTGTGCTGCTTGGGTTGCAGCTCCTGTTCCAGTTCGGGCTTCCGTTTGATTGCCACCTGAGTCTGTGGCAGCATGTTTTCCGGGTCTCTGTATGACCTTTCCAGCAGCATGTCGCGCTTTTTGCTACTTCCCAGCTGCTGTAACTGTTACAGTTTTCTATTCGCGGCACTAATCTGCTATTTTCATAGTTTAAAGTTCGTTTAATGCATACAATTTTCCTTGCAAACACAAAGCGTCGACAATGTTGTCTGTATGTTCCCGTTTGGCGTCACAAAACGATCATCTACGCAGCACTTGAGTGTTTCTACAATTTTTTGAGGCAGCCGCCTCCGCCTTGCTATCTGCCACGGATTGCGCGTATTGTAAAGCACTTTGACCTCAAAGGAATCAATCACGACACGACACACAAAAAACACAGTTAATTTGCTCAGAATCTAGCGCAAGAAACGGCACACAAAGTTCTCGTTCGTTGGCCGCCCAATTTGTTGGACCTCCCCGTGTATGATTGAAGCTCAAATGGACGGACGATTTATTTTGCTGCCGCGGCCGCTGCTGTTGCTGCTGTTGCTGCTGCAGCTGGCTCTGAACGCGACGCGACCGAAAGCAGAGCGCCGCTCGTGCCTGTGCTCGGTCGCGCATTCCTTCCCTTTCGCACTCGCTCACAGGCGCTGTCTTGCACTGTCTTTGTGCATAATTCCAAGAATATCGCGGCGAAAGAAAGAGTTCAATTGCGACGGGGAGAGTAGCGCAGCCAGTTGCGCAGGAGAGAAATCAAATCATATCGGCCGCAGTCGCAGTCGCAGTCGACGTTCGCGTCGTTGGAGGTGTTCACTGGTAAAAGAACAAAGAAAAAGTCAGGGGGAGCGGAGCGCTCTGACGCATGCCTCTCATATTGCGCCTAACCCAATTTGAGTGTCATCATCTCTGGTCATGGAATGAGTGACTGTTGCGGCTATTGTTGCCATCTCTTTCGTTTCGGCGGTTATCAGCGTTTCGCACATAGCACCGTAACCGCTGGCCGTTAGCGGCATTGAGCGCTCCGAGCTTTCGCTCGCCTATGCCTGGCGCACATCTGTGCAGCACAGTGAAGCAAATCTATGCTCAGAGTTAATTTGTATGAACTATTTTCTCATCGCTTGGCTTTTAAAATATAATTTATGAACATATATGTACAATAAAATATTATTTTCACATTTAAAAAAACTTACCCAATAAATAAATTCCGTGGGATAGATTAATTTTATGCACTTCCATTTTAAATGAATTTCAATGTTTATTTGAAAACTATAACGAATAATTGTACGGTTTTTTCATGTTATTTTTTCAATATTTCTGTATATTTTGAGGATATTCACATTAGCAACCGAACTGCATGGGTTCATAAAGTCAACTGTCTGGGTTGCCCTCATATTCGCACATTTATAAGAATTCAGGCCCAAGGGACAGTCACAAATAGATTAAAAACACATTGTGACCGATAAGCGGTGAGCCCAGTAGTTAACAGGTAGTTAACAGCGACCCGTCGTCGGATCGTAGGTCAGGACAGATTACACCCTCGACATGCAAGTGCGTGTCACTGTCTGGATGGGTTTTTGCCTGCCCACGACCCACACCTTTTTGCCTGCTTGCAGGCCACTGTGCAGGGCCAGGGCCACAGTGAGACAGCTTTCGTATGTCCAATGGGGCGTAGAACTCGACTACGGGCAAGCTTTTTCTCAATTCGTGATTGGGAACTTGGCTTTTTGGAACGTTTGATAAGAGCTGCTCCGTCCGAGTGGCTTTTCGGTTTCTTTTGTGCTTAAAATTCTAAACAGAAATAGCACGCGATAGAGGCCGCGTGCGCCACATGACAGGGCCGAGGCACGTACAATACTTGCGATGGCTCTTTTTGAGATACAATTTTCATGGCGCATCCATTGAACACCCGCCAGCATCCATTCCAGCCCACAGCTTGACTGTGCCAATTCCCAATTGCGTTACAGCTTCGATGAGTCCCACACCCCTTAATCCAGCATCAAGCATGCTAACAGACCTTTGTTAAGTCACTCGCGCGCCTTTTCCAAATTAAAACACACAAGAACAAATTAAGGCAAGCTTCGAAGTGCGATTCTGTTAATACCTATGTACGTAAACCAAACGCATAATCAAGAAAACGGTTTTTGCGTTTCCAACGTCACGTAAATATTTTAATATCCTCTGCGAGGTCATTTCAGACACAACACCGCGCCGACTGAAGTCGGAGATGGGATGCAAACACATTATCTCACCAGCAAAAAAAAAGCGAACAAAATAACAAAGCAAAAGGCAGAAAGGGAGCAGCGAATGGGGTCACTCGGTCATATTTGGACTTGAGATCACAACAAAGATGTTTACCGTTTTTTTTTTTCGTTTTGGTAAGCACATCGTGTGTGTGTACGTACGCAAAGGTGTGTATCCGCTAACCGAGAGCGGCATACATACATACACATGCATGTACTTTTACTTCTGCATATGTGTGTATGTGTGTATGTATGATTCTAACAAGTTGGTGCTGCCGGCGCTGTGGGGAGGACCAATAACTTATTCACAACGGTGAAGTGCCAAGTGCTAGAAAGGGATTGATATGGAGTGGTGGTAACCGAAAGTGCCCTGTGGTGAAGAAGTCACCTTGCAAATAAATTCACCTTGGGTTGGCTTATGAAAAAAAAAGAACTCAAATGTGGGAGAGATCTGAGCTTCCTGGCGAATTGACACATGTGCAAGCAAGTACATAGATACATATATTGCTACATATGTAAAGAAGTGGGCCAAATAATGAAGATAAATCAGATGAAAGAGAGAGAACAAAATAAGTCCATGGCGCACTCACCCGAATTTGGACAGGCTCCTGGGTAACTGTAACTGTAAAACCCCGTCGTATGGCTCTGGTTGTTGTTTTTGTTTTTGGGTTTCATTAGCTTTGTGGCAGCTCCGCTCTGGGGGGCGGTCGGTAATCAACTAAGCGACGACATGAGCTCCAGCTCGGCGAGAAGAAAATATTGAAAAGCGCTGAGAACGATGAAGGAAAAGTAATTCGTAAATATGCATACACATGTACATTCAAACGAATATACATATTTACATACATACATACAACTATACACACATAGCACACACATGCTCATATTTGCCACAATGTGCAAACAACTCAAAAATATGTCCAGTCGATATGAAGTCTGAATATGTTTGCAAACAAACCTAAAGCCAAAAGTGAGATTAAGATATGAAAATAGCCATACTTACATACGTGCATACATACATATGTACATATTTAAATATTTCCGACTCTATTGGTTTGTTTAGCTGTTGCTCAAGCTCGACAATGGCACACAAAAATGAGCAAAAGTCGCTGACTTTGATTTGTCTCAACTCCACCATCAATTTCAATTATTTATCTGTAAAGAATTTAAATACACTATGTTCACAATTTGACTAACCAAAACCTAAGTCCATCCCGAATCTTAGCGAGTGTCCTGGGATCACCTGGCTACCTGTCGGTGACAACAACTCTTTCACATCCCCCCCTGGGCAGCCCAGCAGCAGTTCGTGGGAGTTGTCGCAGCAGCCCAGCACCCCAGCAGCCCAATAAATAATAATAATGTATTGATAACTATAAATAAGGAAGTGATAAAGAAATGAACAAAATGTACACAATAGTTCGTTCTGCATTCCTTGCTGGTAGCTTTCGCTGCTGCAGGGTTGCATTTCGATCGATTAACTCGATAGCTCAAATGTGGGAAAAGAAATCCAAGCTGAAGCCTTTTACATGTATCTGGAGAGTAGAATCGTTGAGAATCTAGGATTATAAATATAATATCTAACAACCGTAAGTTAGTTTCGCGCAAAATCAGCCTTCATATATCATATGAGCCATATATCATTAAATATATATGGTTTTACCATAAAAACCTAGATAGCTAACAATAGGGTGACGTTGCGTCACACACCGCACGAAGGAAAAGTTTCTCTTGAAAGACTTTAACAAAATCGATACCTTCCTCTAGGTAAATAATTCAACATCGGGAATGAACGATTTATATCATTCAACCCCATGACACGGAGAGTCCTGGACATAGCTCCTCCAGGTAAGGTTCCCCCATGTTGTGCCATGCAATCGACTAATTGTTCTGCTTTTCAGCTGATGCATGCAATGCCGACATTACTATTGACAAGGCAACATCCTCGGGAGATATGGTTACCCTTTCTGTTTCGCCCGGAGCAGTAGAAGGTCCTACCTCCAGTGCTCCGGCTGCTGATCAGGCTATAAATGTGTCTATACTGCATTCAAATCCGTTGAATGTCGTGCCCAGCGGCTTCTTGGATGCGGATGCATCGTCTCAGAACTTTGGCTACGAATGCCCGATTTGTCTGATGGCAGCATTCGACCGTAGTCCAGTGGCTACAACATGTGGCCACATCTTCTGTCGGGAATGCATCGAGGAGCAAATACGCCAACGAAACAAGTGTGCCAAATGCAATATGAAAATTACCGCAGATCAGCTAGTGCGCCTGTATTTGTAGGCCATCGATGCAGTTCGTTGAAACTCCAATGGATGCTTTCCGGATTCATCTTTGTTCAAATAAATTAAATTGGCTGCACAAACAATCTTAAAACTAAGTCATTTAACGCTGTATTTGGGTTTATTTTATTGAGGAGCCTTAAGTGTGACGACGGGTTGGTGATGGCTTGAGCGGTTCCTTGGTGAGGACTTCAGCTTCACAAAGTGTATCTCTGTGTGCAGTAAGGAGACGCTCCTCATGTACCCCTCCGTGCCGCAACTTGCTCACTGGGTGCTGGAGTAGTCCATGGTCGAATTTCTGATACTCCACCAATTCCAATCAATCAGCAATGAATTGGTGTTAGTACAGACCACGTGCCACGTGACGGCAGCGCCGGGCCATGAAGCAATTATAGAAGGATGTCTCGTCGTCGGCAGCGTTCCTCGTGTCATTTCCCTTTGAGTTCAGTGTTTGTTTGCTTGTCGCTGCGCACTCTCCATCGTCGTTTCACTCACACTTACAGCGCTGAGCCCTTTCACTCGTACTTATTGACAGCCTTGTTACGTTTCCCTTATTGTGTCGATCCCTGCTACATACCCTTCTCTGCAGGGCGGCACAACTGCATTTACCAAAAGTTTGCCATGCTCGAGATCAAGGCCAATGTCGACTACCACATCGACTTAGTCGATCAGGCAACCGACACCGTTTACTAGCTGCAGGAGCATCTTCCCCATGAGCAGGTTCTTGCTGCTTAGTCAACGCTATTTATTTCAACAAAAATGAATGCGGAAAGTATCCCACATTGGAGTTGCAACGAACTGCATCGAAGGCCTACAAATACAGGCGCACTAGCTGATCTGCGGTAATATTCATATTGCATTTGGCACAGTTGTTTCGGTGGCGTATTTGCTCTTCGATGCATTCCCGACAGAAGACGTGGCCACATGTTGTAGCCACTGGACAACGGTCGAATGCTGCCAGCAGACATATCGGGCATTCGTAGCCAAAGTTCTGAGGCGGAGTTGAATGCACTATAGACACATGTATAGCCTGATCAGCATCCGGAGCTTTGGAGATAGGACGCTCTATTGATCCGGGCGGAAAAGAAACGGTAACCATACGTCCCGAGGTTGTTGCCTTGTCAATAGTAATGTCGGCATTGCATGCATCAGCTGAAAAGCAGAACAATTAGTCGATTGCATGGCACAACATGGGGGAACCTTACCTGGAGGAGCTATGTCCAGGACTCTCCGTGTCATGGGGTTGAATGATATAAATCGTTCATTCCCGATGTTGAATTATTTACCTAGAGGAAGGTATCGATTTTGTTAAAGTCTTTCAAGAGAAACTTTTCCTTCGTGCGGTGTGTGACGCAACGTCACCCTATTGTTAGCTATCTAGGTTTTTATGGTAAAACCATATATATTTAATGATATATGGCTCATATGATATATGAAGGCTGATTTTGCGCGAAACTAACTTACGGTTGTTAGATAGATATTCATCTATTTATATTTATAATCCTAGATTCTCAACGATTCTACTCTCCAGATACATGTAAAAGGCTTCAGCTTGGATTTCTTTTCCCACATTTGAGCTATCGAGTTAATCGATCGAAATGCAACCCTGCAGCAGCGAAAGCTACCAGCAAGGAATGCAGAACGAACTATTGTGTACATTTTGTTTATTTCTTTATCACTTCCTTATTTATAGTTATCAATACAATATTATTATTTATTGGGCTGCTGGGGTGCTGGGCTGCTGCGACAACTCCCACGAACTGCTGCTGGGTTGCCTAGGGGGGGGGATGTGAAAGACTTGTTGTCACCGACAGGTAGTCAGGTGACCCCAGGTGCTCGCCATTTAGCACACGCCAGCTCTGATGCTTGGCATCATTGGCCATTCGAACAAGCTCCTGCCCAGGGACTTGAGTGCATTGAGTCCCATTTTTTGGCCGGGTGCAACTGCTTGGGGTCGAAGCCCTTGTCCACGGCCTCCATCAGTTCCGTGAGGCCGTAGGATTAGGTCAGACACTCGGAAAGCTTCGGGATGGACTTACATAGTGGCCGCATGGCTCTTGAATGCCAACATCTGCAGACCAATTAAAATACATTCTTTAAACTGATTTTCTGTTTCCCTTTTCTCTGCTAAATGTCCCGACCGATGAATTGTGAAATTTTGCAGCTCGGCTTGCAATGCCCGACAATTCCAGCTCCATTGAGATGATTTGGGGCACTAAAAGCAAGTTTCAATGGGATTCAAATCTCATCTAGAGTGAGGTTCGCATCCAGTTTAGTATGGAGAGGCTTTGCTAATGGCCAAAGGCTAATGCTGTACTTGAGCGATCGTGTCTGGATGGGCAATAGTCAGATTATGATTATGATTATGGCCCGTAGAGGGACAGTTCCTATCTACGTACTTGGCTAACATGAGTTCCAGGGATCGAGAATGATTTGTGTGCGGTGTGGTGTGGTGTCAGTCTGACAATCTGACAATTGGTTCAAGTTTAATGCACTTTTTGCGCAGCAGCAAAATTCCCTGCACTCCACTCCACTCCACTCCACTCCACGTATAATAATAATAATAGCAGGTACATAAATATCTCATCCAAGTACTGGGCGGCATGCCGGACTCGCAACAGAGACAGAAACAGAAACAGATACAGATACAGATACGGAATGAAAAGCTAAGTAAACAATTTGTTGCTGGCTTGAGTTTTGACACAATTCTGTCAGGGAAACGTTTCGGACAAAGTGAATCTCTCAATGCGCTGCTAGAACACATTCGAAGATATTCTAAGGTATTTAGGGACCAACTTCATGGTTGGACAACCAATTTGAATTTGACAACCCAAAAAGCTGACTAAACTCAGTGCACCGCTTGCAAGTTTAACCTTCAGCCTCAGTCCCTGCAGCTGCAGGGTATCTGCGGGTATCTCATGCTTGTTTATCTGTCCAGAGAGGGGGCTATGGATCAGATTGGAGTCGAGTGCTTGCATACATCGATTGTAGCTTCTATTGTTCTGCCCAGACCGAGTGAAGGTTTGTCTGCTTGGACAACATAAAGATAGATAGATAGACAGCCGTAGTGCCCGCATAGTAAATAGTAATTGTAGACGTAGGTCATATAATGTTTACTATTTGGCCATTCCGATGCGAAGTATCCGATACAGATAATGGTCATAGATATTTCCAGAACATCGCACTGCCCATGGGTCATGCGTATCCCAATCCCACTCTACATCTAATATATATATTTTTATAAGTACTATATATAGTACGCCACCCTCGATCGGTTTCGGTTTCGGTTTCGGTTTCGGTTTCAGTTTCAATTTCCGTTTGTCTCTTAGACTTTCTGCTTTCTTTTTGTAGTCGTTAGAGAGAGTGAGATAACCTTCGGTGAACTGCAATTATGGATTGCGCCTCGGAAACAGAAACCGAAATCGAAATCTGAAAGCTAAAACCTAAAACCTCACACCGAATACAGACAGAGAGAGAGAGAGAGAGAGAGATACAGATACAGATACGACGAGGGTGCCTGCCTGCTGTATCTGTGGCTTAAGTCTCGGAGATGTTGCACTTCCATTGCCAAGGCCATTTAAGATCTTTGCTGCTGATTAAGTCACGCTCTCAATTCGCACACTTTGTGTAGTTTAATGCGTCATTTGAGATTACTTTAGACATTAGACATGCCAATTCACAGATGGATTATACACGGGGAATTATGTACAATGTATAATCGGAGGAGATGCCGAAGACCGATGCCCGATGCCCAATGTCAAGTGCCACAAAATGCGACGAATACTAGCATCAAGCATGAATGTTCAAGTAGTTCACGAGTGGAATTTAATTAGACGGCAGCCAGACACGAGTCAAAGGTGCTCCCAGAATAGTTTTTCAAACATAAGTATCTTCAATGGACTCTTGCCCGACTCTTCCGATGTGCCAGTCCATCGGGCTATCCACAGAGCAATAGAGCCACAATCCTCACGTACTGGCATCTCATTTCCATTTGCCACAAATGACGTAATTGCATTCGTTGTGCAATATATACAATATTTTATATTCTCATACATATATTTTATACATTTTGCAAGAGACATTGCACTGCATTTTGTTTTGTTGTGTTTCCCAAGGCCAGAGCATTGCCCAAAGTCACGCCCTCGAGCAACAATTGTTCGAGTTCTTATCTGCTGCCCAATGAATGATAGATATATTTATTTATTAATCCAACACAAGATGGAGGGATCGCTCAGCTAGTCGCTACTTTAGTTAGCATACTTATTTGATGAAATAACTTCATAAATTACCACTAAAAAGAAAGTTTTATTTGAAATAATCATCTTTAGGGTATATTTTGTGTCAGACAATTTGTATTTGTTGATTAGGTTTGCCTTGTAATTAGGTTTACGACTTGATCGGATGCCATCGGCTATGGGATTATACGAGCTCGATAAGCTTCAAATCGAAATCGAACCACGTGCTGGAATCCACACACAGACACAGACACTTGATAACAATCGCAATAATCTAGTCGAGCATTCTATTGTCGTTTTTCCCAACAACAAAGTGCAGCGCTCTCCCTCTCCCTCCCCCTCCTCGTATAACTCTCTCTCTCTCGCACTCTCCCCTGCTGCCACAAGTTCCGCTTTGCTTTCTTCTTTTTTTTTTTCCTAGAAATAGAATCAGCATCAGATGCCTCAGACGCATTTATCACTCGCTTTTGCTACCAATGACAGCTATAAAACAATAAAGAATAAAGAATCTATAAGGCCTACCTACCTATATTCATGTCATATATGGTCCAAGTGTTATACATGGCGTATGCTGAACACGTCGTATTTGGCTCGCCTTGCTTGACGGACGATACTCGTACTCATATGATATTACGGACACAAGTCCAATTCTGAGAATGCATGTTCCAAGTCAAAGATCCAAAGATACGCTGAACTAATTCTTGTATCCGTTCGCTTATGGGTACATTCGATACAGCAAAACTGTTTGAGGCAGGCAGCGAGCAATGGATTCAACTTGAAGACA